GTCATGCGCAAGTAGAATAGGTTCTGGCAGGGCGGAAAAGGACCGCCAGCTGACCACCTGAAAACCCACCAATCGGAGACCTTGTTCGCCAGCTGCACGCTAATGGAAGGTCTGGTTGCACACTAACGTTGGTACCTTTGAGCTTGAAGGCAAATCTCAATGAGGCCCTGCGCTCTTCTGGGGTGGAGAAGACCACCCTAAGCAGACGGGGTCGAGGATTTGGTTGACCAACCGGAACGTTCCCCAATTTGATGAGCTTCCTGACAGTAACGCCAGGGAAACCTGGTGGTAAAAGCCTGGTCACGCAAACTTTAAGCCAACCAAGATCATCAAGCATGCGCTCGGTGGAAAGAGCGGCATTGTGTTCAGTGACGTTACTGAAAATCACACTGCTATCTGTGTAAGAATTGCCTCGAGGAGGTGTATTTACACCACATGCTCTACCATCCACGCTACATGGTTCTTTGACAGGAATCAGTGGGACCGAAGGCGACGGCACCTCTTGTCTCACTGAGGGAATTTCAACACCAGGTGGTGTTTCCAACTCAGGCGCTTGTTTCTTGAGCATTTTATCACCTTTCGGTTTGAAGGCGGAGGGCTTGCGCGCTTTCCTTGCCCTCTTAAGCGTATATTTCAATGGCCCAGGAGCCCGTGACTAGCCTTCCAGTTGGGGCGGGTCAACAATGCCGTCCGAGGCATTTGTGTGTCATATTCGCGTGAACTGGAGCGTCCCGTAGGATGAACGCCACGTCAACGGTTGGAAAGTCAGCAGGACAGTCCGTTACAGCGTCCACATTCGCAATATTTAGGGATTTCATAATCAAAGCAAGAAAGGCAAAAGCTATTGCCTTCTCAACAACTGTGAATCTGGATGCTAATGCTTTGAATTCAGTACAAGTGAAAGCCGGGAGCTTCGCTTTCTGAGCGCAACAATCAGCACATCTAAACAGGTTTTCACTTGATGATAGCATATTTTACTGGTTCGTTCGGAGGCCAGTACAACTTTTGTGCTACCAACGAGAGCAAACATCACACTGCATACCATCAGATGAATCCGCAAGTGGCTTTGAACAGGCAGAATTGCTGCAAGCTGCACTTGACTCATCAAACGTGGACGAAAGGGGTTCATCCGCCTTGGTTTTCCGCGAGAGGACCATGTTGAAGTGGAAAACAGAGCATAATTTTAAAAAACGTATATGACAAAACGACCACAATATAAAGGCAAAACAGGGTGTGAAACGGGGTTAAGAAAGGGAGCAACTGCAAACTTACCAGAAAGCGTCAGGAAGACGCTTTGACCAGTACCATCTTAATCGATCCAAGATATCTTGGATCAGAGGAAATTTGACAATAGTCAAATTTGGTTTCAAGCGTTTATTCAAACACGGTTTTCCACGTTATTTCAGCTAAAAATCTCGAGCAGTATGGCGCTGGCCACTAGTGGCAAGGCAAACGGTGTGAATTCAAGATGGCGAAGCTATCCGATTGGCTGCATGGACGTGATTAGAATTGCGTGGAGATGTGTATTTTCTAGTCAGCTTAACCTGAAATTGTGTGTTTGAATGCACCAATATAACGATTACTATTGGTAACCGTTGGTACAAAGATGAACGATGTCAACAAATGAGAAGGACGTTGAGCTACTATCTGGTAGGTAGAAATCACACAATATCATTGTTCCTTCTGTGGAAAAGGATGCAATAAGCTGGTATATCTCTGGCAGCTGTGAGTATCTTATTGACAGTCAAAATGATTGTTGCACTGGTGGGATCCATTTCGCATTGAGAAGGTTCTGATCGATATTCTGGAAATCTCTGTGGTTGTATTATGATGCCTAAAAGGGTTATAGAAGTTATCAGGTTACAGTGAAATGTTAAGTAATGAAAGTAATACAGCAGCTGTCTAGACACCGTTAGATAAATCGGTTCATGACGAAGTGAAGAAGATTTCACAGGACCTCTCTTCTGCTCTCTACTACTCAGTGAACTGGAGGCTTGATTGCAGTGACAGTTAGAAAATTAACCGTCGCCGTGAGCGGAATACATCGAGCTATCTGTAAATGTAAATGTAATTGAGGCTGTACACTTACGGAATTTATCCTATCCTTCCAGTCCCACTTGAACTTGAACTTGAGGTGGTTGCTAATGAAATAAATATACAATGTGGGAGAAGTAGGTTTTGTAAACAACTTTCATTAAATGATGCTAATGGTTGCAACATAGTACCACAGTACTAAGCACGGGCATCGAATGGATTGCTAGGAAACAGATATCCTCTACGATTTCAACCGTAATTAAAGCCGAGCCGCCCTGGTATGTAGCTTACATTTATTTCTAACCGCTTGGTAGCTTCCGTAGGTTTTGTTGGACGAAGCCGTCCGGTAAGTTTGGCAGCACTTAGAGCGCTTCGTGAGCAGGTATTTACCGGTACGATCTATCCAAGGAGGATGCGCCGGTGTGCTCCGTATATTAATGTGATCAGCGCACATGACTTCATGTAGAGTAACGTCATAGGGTAATAAATGGACACCTATTGCCAGCATCAGTAAGAATATACTCAATATGCCAAAACAACTAAACTGAGTAGAGGAAGTGCACACCGCAGTCCACAGGACCCCACTAGTTTTGCAAAGCAGACCTATGCCCACATGTTGAGTGTAATGGTAACAATGCAAGTCCACAGTCACTTCAAGCATATGATGAAGGAATGAACATGTTGGCATTTTAGACGTTTATGGGTCACGGGGCATCACAAGCCTAGTGGAGGGCATTTGGGATGAGGTGATGAGCCAGTTGCGTGGATATAAACGGAAATTCGGAAGCTTGAGAGCAATAGGGCTTCACAAGGTACATAGGTTTTTTAGTACTATATCCAAGAATGTAATTCTCGGAGCCTCCATACATATCAGCACAGGCCAGTTGCACTGGTGATACAGTAGCCTACGTAGACCTCGTAGCACTATCAACAAGAAGGTAGGTCTTGGAGCCTCAATACATATCATTACAGGCCTGTTGCACTGGTGATAAAATAGCCTAGATAGCTCTCTTAGCACTGGCAGCAATGGCGTAGATCTTGAAGCCTCAATACATATCAGCACAGACCTGGTGCACGGGTGATATACTAGCCTACATATGTCTTCGTCTACCCGTCCAGACAGGGTGCCTGAAGCTCATTGCAAGAGCACCAAAAATGCCAATCAGCAGGCATCAATAGCTAGCTCTTTAACAGCACTGGGACAATGGGGAAATGGTGACATGCAAATGATAACAGAATTGTCAAGAAACGTATTGGCACAGATAACATTTCCGGGAACGTTGTCGTTCAGACCCATTCAAAGTGCTCACGCAAATGTGCCGGACACGTCATATGCGTCACGTCAACACAGCGGATCACTAAGGAGTGGGGTAAAAGTAATGTACTTAAAGAAAACCATTGTGAACAAGGAATGCATGGGCTTGGAGGCCCAGTTAAACAGCAATTGGGCCATTCCTGCGAGGATTACAGAGCCACCGTCCGATTCATTTACCGAATGTTCCAATCAGTGCCGTCAACCGAGCAGTTGCGTCGGGTTGGCAAGAGGGAAGCACACGGAAACGAAACAGGAGGTGGCAATAAAAAGGGCCAAGTTTGCGTTCTCACAGACTGGCCCTTAAGCAGTTACGCAAAGTCGTAATCATCGGCTGCAGTGGCTTAATGACAATGGCACAGAACTTACTGTCTGGCAAGCAGATCATGAAAGTGCTTCTTAAAACGGTTGTCTTTCCAGCAAAGGGTTCATTTGCAGTGGAATCCAGATCTACACTGAGGAGGATGCAGGTAACAATATATTATGACATACTCAAACGCAGTTTTGCGGATAGGCTGCAGCTCCGCCGAAGTGGTCGTCTCATTTTGTAAGCGCATAGGCATAGCAGGTGCGTTGTCCGTACTATGTGACACATATGAATAGCTGCAGCAGGGTACCGCGTCACAACTATCCGAAGTGTCTGAGCGGAGGTGAAAAGCTATTTAAAAGCGCTTGCAAATGCACACATGCGTAAGTAAGCCTTTTTCAGAAATTGTTTCCACGAAACCATCCTGTTCCACGTTCTGCAGGGCCTGCCGCAAATTGGCTAGCAATAATAACGTGACATTTTACCTACATGACACGGGCGAACGCAACCTGCGGCGTACATTACGGACGTCGTCTCTTGTGACGTGTTTCCCGAATGCATTCTCGATGTACTGCTTTATGTCGCACGTAGGGATGTTGTATCGAAATAAGTCAGCAGCTTGATTGCATTCCTCCTCAGTAAGTCGCCGGTTTAGAGGGTGCCTATCGAAAAGAAACCGGTTGCATGGATGGTTGTGAGAGCTGGAACGTTAGCACCTTTAGCTTACGGCCATCCAGAGCAACATTGACACGAGCACTGCAATCGGTGTCTCGAGAACTAAATTGGACGGTTAACAACCTTATAAACCATATACTAGACTCGCCGAATTCCTTTGCTCCTTGTTTTCCGGCGCTTACAGCGCAGGCATTTATAAACGATGCGATCATACCTCACAGCAAACAAAACTGACGTTGTTCCGATGCATAAATGACGTAAACAGGGAATAGAATTCATCAAAGCTATGAAACGAATGTCCAACAAAGGTGCCCCTAAAGTCAGCCTCCATGGTGGCAATGCGAAATAACAGCCAAATACGACCTTTTACATTAGACCTCACTTAAATTAGCGACTAAACTCATGTGCATAGATATCAACCGTTTTTGGGAAAATACCAAACATAGTCGTATTTTAAGCTGTAAAATTGGTGCAACTTATTTTTTTATGGCCCACATTTCTTGCAGTTCTATGGTTGCCACTACGTGACACCCAGTATGGCCCGCCAAAAAGCTGAGCCACGGCGGTACTCACAGGAAGAAAAATGGCGGCAATTTTGTTACTAGCTATTACTCAAGTTCAAATTCAAGTAGGACCGGAACAGTAGGATAAATCCCCGTGAATGTTCTTTCCAGGTCAGGTCAGGTCAGGTCAGATGGACAATAGAGGCTTCCGCCTAACGAGCGTCCAGTTCTTGTGCCGGTAAGTGAATCGGCCCCCAGCACTTCGACGTTGGATTGTTTCTTGCTTCTGCAATGGAATGATGCAAGAACAAGAGCAGTCTCTGCACTTTCATATGCCAGCATCAAGATACACTACATATACCAGTACAACTACAATAGCTCTGGAAAAAGGGTGGACCAACAATTGTCTAAGCCCCTTTTGAAGGCTGCTACGGTCTCAGACTCCACTAAATCAGAAGGAAGTTTATTCCAGTAGTTAACTACTCGGTTCGTAAAAAACTTTGCCCTGATGTCCAAACGAGCTCTGTGATGTTTGAGCTTCAGGCGATGCCCGCGCAGATGGTCTGACGTAGCCAACTCAAACAGATGGGTGGAACTAATACCACTAAGTCCCTTAATGATCTTAAACGTCTCTATCAAATCCCCTCTCAACCTACGCCGCTCCAAGGAAAATAATCCTAAGCTACTTAGACGATCTTCGTAAGACTTCCCTCGTTGACCTTCAATCATCCTGGTCGCAAGTTTCTGAATCTTTTCTATACATATGATGTCACTCCGGAGGTACGGTGACCAGGCCTGAACACAATACTCCAGATGTGGCCTGACCACTGCTTTATATAAGGGCAAGAATACTTCTGCTTTAGTGTTACTCAGCGCCCTCCTAAGACGAAATAACTCGTGTCGTGCTTTATTGGCAGCATGGCGACACTGTGCCGAAGGCTTAAAATTGTTCGCTACGATGACACCTAGATCACGGGCTTCGTCAGTACATCGCAATGATAGAGATCCCACAGAAGACTGAACTGCAATTCCGCTACCACTACTAGTCAATAGTTGACATTTGTTGACATTTAGAGGTAGGTCCCATTGGCTTGACCAATTCGCCACAGTGATGATGTCCTTAGCCAATGTCGATCGGTTTCCCCTACTGACTAGCTTCAAGTCATCTGCGAAGATGTAGCAGGGATCCTCAAGAAGAGGAGCCAGGTCATTTATAAACATAAGAAACAGCAATGGACCCAGAACCGAACCTTGGGGGACACCACTGTAGGCATGGCCAACACTAGAACTCGCTTCCCCAACCCTGACTCTGAATGTCCTTCCACGTAAGAATTCAGAGAGCCATAGTAATAGTTGAGGATGCAATCCAAACCATGTCAGCTTCTCAATTAAAAATCGATGATTCACGGAGTCAAAGGCTTTACTGAAGTCCAAATAGCACACCTCTACCGATATCCCACTATCAAGACAACGGGTAATCTCGTCTAAAAAGCACAGTAAATTGGTAAGACAAGACTTCTTTTTGAGAAAGCCATGCTGTTCCGCTCGAATTAGATTGTGCTCAGTCAAGTGCTCACAGATCCTGTTCCTTATAAGCTTTTCCAAGCATTTCAGCATGATGCTGGTCAAACTAACAGGTCTATAGTTAAGAGGCACCGACTTAGAACCCCCTTTGTGGATGGCAACAATAGTCGCCTCCTTCCAATCACGTGGCAGCTTGCCTTCTTGAAGAGACTGGTTGAATAACTCCGCTACGGGATACTGAAGGACATCAGCCAGCGGCTTAACTATGGCGGGATGTACGCTATCAGGACCGGCTGATTTATAAGGGTTCAAACTAGCCAGCACTGTGAAGACCTCTGGCACACTGAGAATAATTTCCCGCATTGTGTAGCTAGTTGAGCAGTGCGGCTGTGATGGCAAGGCTGACCCACTATCCTTCCGATGCAGGCTTTGGTAGACACGTAGCAGCACTTCTACTTTATCGACGTCGTCTACAGCCTGGGTACCGTCCTCCATGGTTAGACAGCCGACGACCTCTCTTAAAGAAGCCTTTGACTGAACATAACTGTAATAACACTTGGGATTAGTTTTCGCGAATTTGGCCAACCTAAGCTCATATGAGTACTTCGCTTGCCGCTGTAACTTAATAGCCATGTTTCGACACCTTTTGTACTGCAGCCAGCGTCGAAAGCCCCGAGTTTCTTGATATTCTCTCCACTCAGCATTGCGCCTCTTTATCGCTCTCTCAATTTTTCTTCTCCACCATCGGGGTTTCCCAAGATGTCTCCTGGGGCGAAGAGGAGCAAATTCATTCAGCAACTGTACAAGTCCACTTTTAAGTAGAAGCCACCTCTGTTCCAAAGTGGCCTTGTCCTGCTCAGGAACCCAAGTGATCTGAAGGGCTCGATCCCGCAGCTTCGTAAAATCAATACGATTTAAATCTCTTCCCATTCGACGGTTCTCTGCAAGCCTCGGTGTGTCCAGAGAAAAGGTCAAAACACAATGATCACTCTTACCTATGGGTGGCTCCACGCATAGGTCAATCAAGTGACCATGTCTGGCGATCACGATATCAAGGGTTGAAGGGGTACTCCCAGTACGACTCCTAGTCGGGACATTGACGTACTGCTCGAACGCATTTACATGCATCCAATCTACTAGTTCCTTCTCTAAAGTACCCACTCTGTTTTCGGCATGCTGCCAATCAGCATGCGGAAGGTTTAGGTCACCGACGATCAGAAAATTAGGTGCGGCCATTGCCGCCTGTCTTAGTAACGTACCAAGATCCCTGTCCTCTTCTCGCGTGGAGGATGGGCTACGATAAACACATACTATGATCTCCAATCTACCCCATGCTTTTAGATAGCAGGATACCACCTGAACATTAGCAGAACTCATGGTAAATGGAGCCTCCCAGTGTTTATATTGGCACTTTATAAGCAAGAGTACCCCTCCACCAGTCTGATACCCGGGCCTGTCAGCCCTGTAGCACGCAAAGTCTATAAGCAGATCACCAATAAGGTCATCTGGAGAGAGCCAGGACTCCGACACAGCGGCCACATCAACATGCTCACAACGCGTCACTAATTCCCCCCATTTGTTACGCACACTACAACAATTGGCGTACCACACGCTTAGTCTTTCCGAACGCGGTTGTTTCCCCTCGGACGCAGAGCCCGAGGGGATAACCCGTTTTTTGGTACCATTTCATTTCGATCAGCTGCCTGAGTCGATAAATCAACGCTGGGCTGCTGTAACGCATTACGGGATAATCCCTTTCCTGGCTTCGCCCGCCTGGGCTTGCTGGATAAACTCCCGATGGGTTTCCTCCCATTTACCTGAGTCGACCTGACAGCACTGCACTTCGGATTTTCTGTACGGCCCAATTTAGGTGTGGCAAGTTTTTCATTTATCCTATCATTTTGTGAAAAGGGCATACCACCCATGGACTTTGGTGCCACTACTATCGAGCATGAGGCTTCCATTGTTCTTGAACGCACCGGCTGAAGTCCCATTGCCACACCTTCACTACCCTCTTCCGCCATAGAGGTGTGATTCTCATTTTCATCAAGAGCAAGTTTCTCCACAACCAAATGTAGGCCAGGAGTTATCTCGCTGGCATCTTGTGAAGGGGGTTGTCCAGACAAGCTGTCTGCCCTTGCCACAGAAGAGCAAACGCTAGAGGTTTGCTTAGGTGTCTGCATAACGTGAGGCTCACTATCATGAATTCCAACGTGTGAGACCGCAGATTCGTTATCCAAGCTGGTATTAGTGCCTTCTAACCGGCTCAGCCGAGAGGCTTTAGCCTTCGAAGTCAGTGTGTCCGGTGCTATTTGATACCGACCATTTGTCTGACTTGCAACCAACCCAGCCCTGTTAAGTAGAAGGTCCCGGTGTATAGGGTTCCGAAACTCAACCAGGATAGGCCTTGCATAACCTTGGTGGCGGAGCATACTTGTTTCTCTCCAGCTGCCAACACGATGTACTCTTTTGATACCAACGTATAACGGTATTCCGGCTATACGAAGGATATCTTGCACTCGCCTTCTGTCTAGGTCCCGTCGAGTTTTAGTTTCTCGTATGACTGGCTCCTCCCTATTGTAGATAAGAACGTTTCGTTGTCTACCCATAGCAAGTTCTGCACTTCGCAAGTAACATTCCAATGAAGACTGCAACTCTTCAACTTTTGAACGCAATGTCTCTATTAGCAAGCTCTGGTCACGAATCAACTTCTCGGCACTGTCTAGTCTATGCACACAGCTTCTACTAGCAGACTCATGCACAGCTGAGACATGAGTAACTGGATCAAAAGTCCGATCATGTATCAAGCGAGAACCAATGTCTGCTAAGCACACGCAGTGGAAGCAAATCCACTTTAATTGGGAATGTCGGGCATAAAGATCAATAGAGTCCTGGTCTAATCTAGAGCAGTTGTTATGGTACCAGAACAAGCATCTGTCGCACTGAATTCCCTCTTTGACCTCAACGCCACAAGTGTGCTCACCACATTTATAGCCAGCCACCGATGTCATTACAAATAGCACGTAACAGCCACGTATAGAATAACAAAATATAGGTAGTTTGGTGGGGTTAACTGACCTAATTAATACAGGTATGACGGCTTAAGAGTAAGTAGTCACAACAAGTTAATACAATAGAGAATACAACAATAGTGAATAAAACAATAAACACAGCGAATTAACAAGACCAAAAAGAACACAAAGAGAAGCAATACTGGAACGAACTCACGCGGTTAACGAAGATCCAAGATATCTTGGATCAATATTTGATGGAGCAGAGTAAAAATTTCCCACTCAGTCACTCTAGATCACGCTTCCAAGCCAAATTTGAAAGTAGAAATTTCAAGCAAGAGCTTTTTCAAAATTTCAGAGTACCGACGAGTTCGCGGGTGGCTGGCCACTAGTGGCAAGGCAAACAGTATGAATTGAAGATGGCGATGCTATCCGATTGGCTGCATGGAGGTGATTAGAATTGCGTGGAGATGTGTACTTTCTAGTCAGCTTAACCTGAAAATGTGTGTTTTAATGCACCGATATGATGATTACCATTGGTAACCGTTAGCACAAAAATGAAAGATGTCAATAAATGTGAAGGTCGATGAGTTACAATCTGGTAGGTAAAAATCACGCAATATCATTCTTCCTTCTTTGGAAAACGAAGCAATAAGGTGATATATATCTGGTAGCTGTGAGTAGCTTATTGACAGTCAAAATGATTGTCCATTCATTGAAGCATACCTGTGAGATCCATTTCGCATGGAGAAGGTTCTGATCGTATTCTGGAAAGCTCTGTGGTCGTATTATGATACCTAAAAGGGTTGTAGAAGTTATCAGGTTACAGTGAAATGTTAAGTAATGAAAGTAATACACCAGCTGTCTAGACATGGATAGAGATATCGGTTCACGACGAAGTGAAAAAGCTTTCACGGGCCTCTCTTCTGCTCTCTACTACTCAGTGAACTCAAGGATTAATGGCACATTTAGTTAGAAAATTAACCGTCGCCGTGAGCAGAATACATCGAGCTATCTGTAAATGTAAATGTAATTGAGGCTGTACGGGAGGTAAGTAAATGGATCGACGACCCGCTCAAGAAGGAACACTTACGGGATTCATCCTATCGTTCCCGTCCCAGTTGAACTTGAACTTGAGGTAGTTGCTAATGAAATAGATATACAATGTGGGAGAAGTAGGTTTGGTAAACAACTTTCATTAAAGGATGCTAATCTATGCAACACAGTACCACAGTACTAATGTAGTGGTCGAAAAATACTAGGAAGGTTGCAACCCCTTAGTAAAAGGCAAAAAGTTGGAAAGCGTCACCTCACAGTCTAATCACGGTCGAGTTCGAGTCGTAGGTTGCGCTGTACCTGTAGCACACGACGAGCACAATGGAAATAGACGTTCGATAATAATTCCGAATATACTATCCGATTTGCAAGCAGACTGGACGGCACCGTACGCACGCAGAAGCAGCACAGCCAGAAATCAGCACGACGGTACGGGGCGCGAAGAAGTGTATTCTAATTATTAATTCAAACAAACTGTACAAAAGATGTCGTGATAAAATTGATGACAAGAAAGACAAAATGTGAAAGAATAATAACCACTAAACTAAGCACTGGTATCGAATGAATTGCTAGGATACAGATATCCCCTACGACTTCAACCGTAATTAAAGACGAGCCATGCTGATATTTAGCTTACATTTATTGCTAACCGCCTGGTAGGTTCCGTAGGTTTTGTTTGATGAAGCCGTCTGGTAAATTCGGCAGCACTTAGAGCGCTTCGTGAGCAGGTTTTTACCGGTACGGTCTATCCAAGGAGGATGCGTCCGTGTGCTCCTTATATTATTGTCAGCAGCGTAGCTGACTTCATGTAGAGTAACGTCACGGGGTATTAAATGGACACCTATTGCCAGCCTCAGTAAGAATATACTCATTATGCCAAAATAACTAAACTGAGTAGAGGAAGTGCACACCGCAGTCCATAGGGCTCCACTAGTTTTGCAAAGCAGACCTATGCCCACGTGTTCAGTGTAATGATAACAATGCAAGTCCACAGTCACTTCAAGCATGTGATGAAGGAATGAACATGTTGGCATGTGAGATGTTTATGGGTCACGGAGCATCACAAGCCTAGTGGAGGGCATGTGGGATGTGATGAGCCAGTTGTCAGGATGTAAACGGGAATTCGGAAGCTTGTTAGCACTAGGGCTTCACAAGGTAAATAGGTTTCTTAGCGCTATAAGCAAGAATGTAATTCTCGGAGCCTCTATACATATCAGCACAGACCTGTTGCACTGGCGATACACTAGGCTAGATAGGTCTCTTAGCACTAGCAGCAATGGCGTAGGTCTCGGCGATTCTATACACATCAGCACAGACCAGTTGCACTGGTGCACCAGTAGCCTACGTAGGTCTCGTAGCAGTATCACCAAGAAGGTAGGTATCGGAGCCTCTATACATATCATCACACACCTGAGGCACTGGTGATATACGTGCCTACATAGGTCTCTTAGCACTAGCATCAATGGCGTAGGTCTCGGAGCCTCTATACATATAATCACAGACCTGATGCACTGGTTGTATACTAGCCTACATGGGCCTCTTAGCACTAGCATCAATGGCGTAGGTCTCGGAGCCTCTATACATATAATCACAGACCTGATGCACTGGTTGTATACTAGGTTACATAGGTCTCTTAGCACTTGCATCAATGGCGCAGGTCTCGGAGCCTCTATACATATAATCACAGACCTGATGCGCTGGTTGTATACTAGGCTACATAGGTCTCTTAGCACTTGCATAAATGGCGTAGGTCTCGGAGCCTCTATACATATAATCACAGACCTGATGCACTGGTTGTATACTAGCCTACATAGGTCTCTTAGCACTAGCATCAATGGCGTGGGTCTCGGAGCCTCTATACATATCGTCACAGACCAGTTGCACTGGTGCAACAGTAGCCTACGTAGGTCTCGTAGCACTATCACCAAGCAGGTAGGTCTCGGAGCCTCTATACATATCGTCACAGACCTGATGCCCTGGTGCTACAGTAGCCTACATATGCCTTCGTTTACCTGTCCAGACAGAGGGCCAAAAGCTCATTGCAAAAGCACCATCAGGAGGCATCCATAGCTAGCTCTTTAACAGTACTGGGACGATGCGGCTATGGTTAAATGCAAATGATAACGGAATTGTCAAGAAAGGTATGGGCACAGATAACATTTCCGGGAGCGTTGTCGTTCAGACCCATTCAAAGTGCTCACGCAAATGTGCCGGACACGTCATATGCGTCACGTCAACATAGCGGATCACTAAGGAGTGGGGTAAAAGTAATGTACCTAAAGGAAAGCATAGTGAACACGGAATGCATGGGCATGGAGTCCCAGTTAAACAACAATTAGGCCATTCCTGCGAGGATTGTATAGCCACCGTCCGATTCATTTACCGAATGTTCCAATCAATGCCGTCAACCGAGCAGTTGCGTCGGGTTGGCAAGAGGGAAACACAGGGCAACGAAACAGGAGGTGGCAATAAAAAGGGCCAAGTTTGAGTTCGCACAGGCTGGTCTTCACGCAGTTAGGCAATGTCGTAATCATCGGCTGCAGTGGCTTAATGACAATGGCACAGAACTTACTGTCTGGCAAGCAGATCATGAAAGTGCTTCTTAAAACGGTTGTCTTTCCAGCAAAGGGTTCATTTGCAGTGGAATCCAGATCTACACTGAGGATGCAGGTAACAAAATATTATGACATACTCAAACGCAGGTTTGCAGATAGGCTGCAGCTCCGCCGAGGTGTTCGTCTCATTTGGTAAGCGTATAGGCATAGCGGGTGCGTTGTCCGTACCATGTGACACATATGAATAGCTGCAGCAGGGTACTGCGTCACAACTGTCCGAAGTGTCTGAGCGGAGGTGAAAAGCTATATCAATGCGCTTGCCTTCGTACGCCAGAGAAGTAGATGGGGTAAATGATGTGGTTATATTCGGAGATGGTGTACGGCTCATAGCTGAAACTAAATTACTTGATTCCAACTCACGTATGTTATTACTATGTGACGGCTTTTTGGGAAGTGGAACCGCTGCTGTGTCACTGGAGCAAACTTTGCAACCGTCGGTTTTGTTCTCCACCAAGCATTTACGGTGGTACAGTTGCCCGTTGTGCACGCAATGAACGCCCGTACCTGCAACCGGTTCACCACAAGCGAAGCAAAATGTAGTCAACTTACTGGCTTTGTGCCCCCACGGTTGCTTAGGCGATGGTTGGCAGTGTGGCTTATCACTTACGACGGGCGCACCTGGTGCTACGTCTATGAGCTCATCAGTTTGTTGAATGAGGCTATCGATAAACCCGGATACTGCACCGGGGGTTCACGTCTTCCAGGCACTTAAGCCGAGCAAGCAGTTTTGCTACGTTGGAATTCGGCTGCCTTGAGGTGGCTACCTTCAAAGTCCGAAGCAACATGGAATCCTCCGGCATGTTGTAATTCGCTAACCATCGACTACGGATAGGGATGCTTTCTAAAAAGGGAATGAAACATAATCGTTGCTTTACCCGCCGGATGTTGATTCTCCTTATATAACATCAATATATGGACGCACGGTACCCACATGTGCCCGTAAAATGCGCAAGTGCATGTGCCATTTGTGCAGACGATGTCATATCTATGGTTGTGGGAGAGCTAGAACGTCAGCACATGTAGCCTACAGCCATCCCGAGCAACATTGACACGAGCACTGCAATCGGTGTCTCTGGAACTAAATTTGACGGTTAACAACATCATAAACCACATACTAGACTCGCCGTATTCCTTTGCTCCTTGTTTTCCGGCGCTTACAGCGCACGCGTTTATAAACGATGCGATCATACCTCACGCTATGATACTTGCTTCTTTTGCTGCTACAGCAAACAAAATTGACGTTGTTCCGATGCATAAATGAGGTAAAAAGCGAATAGAATTCATCAATGCTATGAAACGAATGCCCAATAAAGGTGCTCCTGAAGTCAGCCTCCATGGTTGCAATCCGAAATAACAGCTAAATACGACCTTTTTCATTTGACCTCACTTAAAGTAGCCACTAACGTCATGTGCAGAAATATTAGCCGCTTTTTGGAAAATACCAGACATAGTCGTATTTTATGCCATAAAATTGAGGCCACTTATTTTTTCATTGCCCATATTTCTTGCAGTTCTATGGTTGCCACTACGTGGTACCTTGCGGGTGCGAACCGAACTTGCTGCGGTGTATGTGCTTGGGTACAATTTTGGTGTATGTGCTTGGGTACGCGTCGTGGTGACGCGTCGTTGATCCAGGGTATTGTTCGTCCGC